GTTTCCCTTCACACAGAGAAGAAGGTTAAAGTCCACGCTCTGCTTTGTTAGTACTACAGTGTGTCTGCAAGAACATGTCAGGAGCCAATCAGGACCATCGTATTTTATAGTATACTTTATATGTAATATGCCAAAATATGTTGGTGTTCCAGTAGCACGATCTAGTATTTCTACCTAAAAATACATAAACCAGTGGTTCTCAAACGTAGACACGTTGTACGGCTGTAATGTTTGACTTTCCAGGTACCAGTAAACGCCCGTATTATGGAGAAGACTCCTAATAATATTTCTATTCTGGTACAACTCCTCCCCTTTACACTTTTGTTCTTTGGGTTTTCATTTGTAGCCATTATTCCTTTGTGTTGTTTAACTGTAGAAAAATGTGAACTGGCCGCGCGGCGCATCGCGATACTCACCGTGGAGCAACCAGACACCGATTGTTTTCGATTGACACTGAGCTGTTCCAATTACAATTATAAACACCGCCCCCCTCCGGTGGGTTTGCGTTCTTCGTGACTGGAGTATAAAATGCGGCCCATTGGTTCGTTTCTTGACTGACAAGGAGTTGGTCCAATCACATGTTTGATTTGTTTCCTTTGGCTAACTACTGGTAACGTTTTAAAGTTGTTTGCATACCCGCCGGTTTGGTAGAGATTAAAAGAGTAAATGGGAGGGAGTCACAGAGAAGCTGCGTAAACCCCCCGCCCCTCCCCAAAAAACAAAAAAATAGACTGTTCAACTTGCAAAGAAATATGATTTGTTTGCCGAAGCAGAGCCTTCATTAGCCCGGATTGCTAATAGCAGTGGTGGTGGAGGCGGCGGCGATGGTGGCGGCTATTCTACGGTAAGCTGGACTGATTGAACCATATCGGTTTAAACGGCCTAATGTGAAATTGTTATCATATGAAATGCTGTTTGACATGTTTATGTTGTATTATGACGCTTTAATTTAATGTCAACGCTGGGTGATTTTCTTTATTAGACCTTATTCTCTTAAATGTACGGATGTAAATGTCTCAAAGTTACTTTTTCCTTCTTTCGTCAAGACTCGTATGAAATTTAAATTTTTTTAATTCTCAATGTGGCCGTAATACACACTTTCAGTGGATGGTGTGTGTGTGTGTGTGTGTTCAGATTTGGTCGTTACATTATTACATTATTACATTACATTATTTATAGTCTTTGGAAGCGGTACCGTATCGATACTTTGCCGACCGTTGGAGTCTATACTGAAACATGGTCGAGATCCAAGTTCGAAAATAAAACAATAATGGATCGCCTCCATTATTATATAACATTATATTAGAAATATGACAGCGTTATGACATGAGGCCTAGGTCAATTTAATGAATTCAACTTTTACTTGTTTACTTCACTAAAGTCTCTTACTTTATTAAAAATCTCACTTGGATGCTCGTTACCTTACCACAGCCACATCTCCATGTCACTAGTGACACCATCTGGTTGTCAGCCGCTAGTGCAATACAAGTTTAGATTTTGATGTACTACACAGTTTACTTAAAAAACAAAACATAAAAAAAGTTGTACAGAAGGAGAATTTTATTCAGTGCTAATACAATAAATATACAAAACAAATTATTTCACATGCAACTGAAGGTAAAACTATGGTGCATCTTAAAAAACACACCTAATGACAGCAAACTAAGACCCACCAGCCAGTCATTAAAACAAAACAAAAAAACACATTACTTGGTTAATTATTTGAAGAATTTCATTCAAAATCAATTTTCATCGGCTTCTACTGTATCACAAGTCATAAATGAAATGGGAAGCACAGCTTAAGGCAACAGTCCTTAATTATTACATCTCTGATCACGTTGTACTTTAATGCCTTGTTTATATTTTGTACTAGATTTATTTTTTGGGAGAGTTCAAAAACAAATACATCAGTAGGAATAATCTATTGTTGCTCTGTACACACAGCCAATGTTCCTCTGTGAAACAAGCCAGCATACTTTTTTTTTTTTTTTTTAAAGTTAAGCGAGAAACAAGGTCAGAAATAAAACAGCACATGTTGCAGAAAGTCTCAAATATTTGAAGAAAGTTAGAAAACATTTCCAGGCTCACACCTGCACATGAGACTTGAAAGGCTTAATATTCCCCAGTATTTACACTGTGACTCATCACACACTCACAAAGGCTTCAGTGGCTTTGACAACAGACAGACAGACATAATAATAAAGAGAGGGAGAATTGTGCAGCTCAAACTCCAGACCAAATCCCAGAGTCATGGACACTGTGTTGACTTGGATATTTAAATATTAGTCTGCGTTTAGATTATAAAGTGTCCATGACTTCAGATTTGGATCAAATCAAAGATGGGCCAAACAAAATCCCTTAATCATAAATAGACCATCACTGGCCAGGTCTGCCATTGGTTATTTTTTCACATTCACATTTAAGGGCCAGCATCATTTCAGGATATTTCTGATTTGAACTGATACACAATTGACCAGTTTTATCATCATCTCTGTCAAGCTGTTTTCAATCCACTTAGGAAACACTTAAAAATCAGAGCAAACATCAAATTTGAATCTTAACTTGAAAACCTGCTAATTTTTTAAAGTTTTGCCAAAGGTTTTAATGTAAACGTTATTTTAAAGTAAGTTTTGCCAAAGGTTTTAATGTAAACTTCATCTGATTGTTTTTTTGTTTTGTTTGTTTGTTTGTATCGTAGCACTGAAGGAACTTAAGTTCAGTCCTGAGATGAGACAGAAGATGATTATGACTGTGTGAGAGAATACTGAAAACAACATTGCAAGTGATAAGACTGAAAGGGGTATGTAGAAAAATAATATTATAATTGTATTTCTTTTGAATTGTTAGAGCTTTTTGACTTCCCTTCTACATTTAAAACTAGGTGTCAGTGTCATCATTGTTAGTTTTTAGTACAAAGTTCTCTCTGTTGTGTAGATGAAGAACACATCCTGAGTTCAACTGAGGGAAACCTCTGGAACATGGAAGAAGCTGGAGACCAATCACTTATAAGACTTATATTTATAGAAACATGCAGTTCTAAATGTACAGTACTCTGTGTAGTACCTGTGTCAGTCTCTGAGATTAAATCACCGGGGCAAGAGGTTTGCTGGGAAAACTGAGCTGGAAACATTACACCAATGAGCTTTAGTTGGAAAGAAGACTTATGAGAGTGTTATAATGATTATAAATGTTGGTTCGGTAATTGCACACACGAGCTAACGACCAGGTTTAAAGTGCTACGTTATTCAACATATTATTTTTGGCATAAACACACTTTAAAGTGATGTTTTTACCAATTGTGTGATGGAATTTCACTCCACCAGAGGGCAGCAGTACTACTCGTAAAAATTTAAATTTTAAATAGACTGAAACTTTTTAGGCGTATAGATTTCCAACTCCGTATTAGCCCAGTACGAGGTCAGTAGCTGCCGCTGAGAATCGGCTCCAGTTTTATCCAAGATAAGCAGCAGATATCGAACAATTTAATGAGTTAACTAAATCGAAGTTAAAGAACGTCAATTATTCTGACAAGCCCAGACCATCAAAATGAAGTCGCACAAAATGTATTTAGCATTTTGTCATTCGTTTCTCTGTCGGTCACACACTTTTTTAAAACAGAAATCTGAAGGAAAAAAAATACTGGGTGTGAACTGGAATGCACGGCATTCATCCTCAACGATACAGTATCAATCCACAAGAGGGCAGCAGTACTATACTAGTTAGCAAATTAGTTTAGCCACGTGTGCATTTAGAGACGGATTAGTAGGGCTACGTCACTTCGGTTTGTCTCAGCTTAAAATTTCTAAATAAAAAATAAAGTAAACAGCAGTGAAGGGGATAAAGAAAACATTTCTGATGAATAACTGTTCAGTTAAAGTAAGTTTAAGGCGAAATGTGTAGCCTGATAGCAAAAGAATTAACCTTCATTAGTATCTTCTGTGTGACACTTGTCTATGTTCACAATCTTTAACTTCAACTTGGGGAAAAACATCACCATTTCATGCTCATAAATGGAGTTTTCAAAACACACAAGGACCATGACCAGCTTAGCTTCAGTGTTAAATGTCAAATATGCAAGTCTCCTTTTGTCATCTGCATGAGTAACACATGCATTCAAAACCTACTACTGATTTTAAACTCTTTCATAAACAGACGTACAGTAGTGGTTGGTTATTATAGTGTTAAAACATCTAAGTAGCGGCTTGCTTCACATTTCCTGTCATCTTTGCAGCGTGTTTGCACAACCTCTTACACACTGTAGTCAGTTCCTTAAAGTGCGATATATCCAAGTTATTATTATTGTTATTATTATAGGAAGAGTGGTAAATTCAAATGGATGTTTACATCTTTTCTGTTTTTTTTTGTTCTGTTATAGTTTTTAATTTATTTAAACCTTTTTTTTTTCTCAGAGATGGTGTGTTACTGCAGGGAAGTCTTCAGGTTGTTGCACTCTTCCTGAGTGTAATTAATTGTTACACAGTCCACTGTTCAAAAGGCACGAAATAAACAACATAAACAATAACACACAGACACACACACGCTAGAGTGGGTTGGTTGGGTGACGGTCAGGTTTTCCCCACAATCAGAGAAGAAATTGTAAGGAGGAGTTGGACTGTTTTCCCCTCTCTGATCACAGGTGACTGCAGAGGACGCGCTGACGTCCAGAGAACATTCTGGAGCTCTGCACGTGTTTGAACTGAATGCAGCATTTTTGTGGTCGGAGGAGTTAATGCTGTGTTTGCGGTAAGTGACGAGTGGTTGGTGATAAGAAATTCTCTCCTGGCCAATCAGATCTGCTCTTTGAAGGTTTCCTGTGCGGCCCTGGAGGCAGCGTTAGCAGCAGCCATCTGGACCGTCTTGTTGGACATGACGCCTGTGGCG